GGCTGATCCCGCTGTGGCTATGTTGAGATGAAGCCCCTGCTCTGGCTCTAAATGATCTTGGCTCTGCCGGAGACAGTGGTGGGGCTAAGGTCAAACCCTAGCCGGCCTTCACTGTGGTAAGCCAAAAGCCCCCAGCCCCTCAAAACCTAGTGGATCTGTGCCTACTTACCTTTATGATGCTCCTCCTTCGACCTGGCAGTGTGGCGTTTCCCTCTCAGTGACTCTGCTGCCCTGATTTCTGCAGAGCCCCTCTGGTCTGTGTCACTCAGGCCCCCGAGGTTCACTTTCTGATCGCTCCTGGTATCTAGAAATACAGGTCACTTGGTCTTTGGTGACCTTGGAAAGTCCATGTACCAATTCTAATAGCTTGTCATCGTCAGCAAGTATTTCCCATGTTCACATCTCTATTTCCTTTTCTTGCATGATTGCATTGGCTAGTCTTTATTCTACAATGTTGATGCCAAACCAAACCAAACCAAACCGAACCAATTGCCATTCAGTCAATTCTGACTCATAGCCGCCCCGTACAGGGTTTCTAAGGCTGTACATCTGTATGGGAGCAGACAGCCTCATCTTCCTCCCACGGAGCAGGTGCTGCATTTGAACCACCCAGCTTGTGCTCAGCAGCCCAGGATGCCTATTTGATGGCACCATTGAAAAGAAGTGGTGAAAGATGACATCATTGTTTTATTTATTTATACAATTAAAAAAACTTAAAAATTTTTTAATTGATTATTTTTTTATTAAAAGATCATTTATTGGGGACGCTTAGCACTCTTGTTACAATCCATGCATCGACTGCATCAGGCCTGTTTGTTTCATTCTCTAACCTGGAGAATGTGCTCCGTACTTCACCAGCATATATGCTGTTGCTATAAGCTCAAAGGAAGGTCTCTTTTGTTCTTGATTTACAGAGAGTTTTTAAAATGACGTTGTTACATTTACTTTATGCTTTCTATCTATTGAGGTCTTTCCTCCTCTAGTATACTAATGGTGAGTTATGCTATTTCAAGGTGTTTCTTCTTTCAAGTACTCAACTAGCTTATCAGGTTTGGAAAAGCACTGTGGCCATAGGGTATAGAATTTTTTTGGTAACACTAATTTTGACTGACAAATACTGGGTTTCAGATTTTGTGTCTATGTTTATGAAAGCGATTGACCTGTAATACTACCTACTTGACCTTGTCAGATTCTGAGATTCTATTTATGTCCTCATAGAGAGAGCTGGGGCAGGGTTCTATAATATTGGGATCCCCCACCGCACCCCTAAATGATTGGAATGCTTCACTGAAGACCCCTGAAAGACCTGGAGTTTTTGTTTTGGGAAATATTTTAATTACAGAATTACTTTCTTTAATAGTATTGGCTTGTGGATACTTTCTTTTATGTCAGTTGGTCAAGCCATGTTTTTCAAGAAAAGTGTTGATTTCATCTACACTGTCAAATTATTGGCACAACTTGTGTGTATAGCATCTTATTTTATTAATAGCTGTATGGTCTGTAGTGATGTCCCCTCTGAAGTGTGCCATCCCTGGCATTAGTACATTTACCAGGCTGTACAACCATCAGAAGCTTTTTTGCCATCCTGTCAGAGAGAAAGCTGGAGCTTCTGTTCAAAAGTAAAGATTTACTGATGGAAGAAAGTAATCCAGGATTGGGCAGTACCTTGCAAGAGGTGACCAGGGTACTGCAGCGAAAGGACATTTTCACAGAGCTTAGATACTGAACATCCCGGGGAACTGACATCTACAAAAGCAAGCTTTAGCAGCTGGAGGCAAAACCCTTCAGAGTGTGATCAGAAAGTTTGAGCCATTTGATCTTTTTCTAAGGCCTTTTCAAGGGCCAGCCTGAAGGAATGCTCTTCCTGGAGCATGCTGGGAGGGGGCGGGGAGGGAGGTCCCTGCGGTCTTCCTGGGGTGCTCTGGCTGCATGACTTGAGGGTCAACAGCAAACAGAAAAAGGAGGAGTCTAGCCTGCATCTTGGGGAGACTCCTCTCCTTATTCCCCACCTAGTTATTTGTGTGTCTTTCAGATCCCAAGCAGAAACTCTGGTCCATTAAGCAATTACTCCCCATTTCTTCTGCTCTTACTCTGTGTCTTGGAAACTTCCGCTTTATGGTTATGAATTTGGCTATTTATCACTTTGAGGACTAGGGTGCCCCTGACTCAAGTCATGGTATTTTCAATCCCTTTATATGCATGCATGTGAAGGTTGGACACTGAATAAGGAAGACCGGAGAAGAATCGCTGCATTTGAGCCATGTGCTGGGGGAGCAGATTGAAAGCACCATGGCATGCCAGAAGAACAAACAGACCCATCTTGCAAGAAGTACGGTCAGCGTGCCCCTTAGAATAACGATGGCGAGACTGTCTCACGGACTTTGGATGGGTGGTCAGGAGAGACCAGTCCTTGGAGAAGGACTTTATGCTTGGTCAAATAGAAGGACAGCGAAAAAGAGGAAGTTCCTCAACCAGATGGACGGACACAGTGGCAACAGCAATGGGATCGAACACCGGAACACTTGTGAGGCTGTCTCGGGCCTGGGTGGTTTCATGGTGCTGTGCACGGGTCTCGCTGAGGGGAAGGTGACAGCCCCTGACAGCGGTGCCGACGACGACAACAACAACATGGTACTTAGATGCACACACAACAATCCTGTCAGACAGATGCCGTTGCAAAGGCTTCTGGTACTGGTGCAAAAAACCTATTCTGGGATGTCAGGCCTGTCCAGTTGGGTGGAGTATTTATTGGCCCTGCTGGTCCTGTGATTGGTGGGGTGGTGGCCTCTGCACATGCGTGGGCTATCGAATCACCTCAACTGTCTTGAAGCCGTTCTAACAGGGCAGTGCCTGTCACAATGCACACCACAAATACAGACATCGTATAGACGGGGCTGGTTTCCTTCCAGCCACTGTCCAGACGCCATTCCAACCGGGCACGCTGCACGCCACAACGCATGCCACACGTGCCAGGGTCACGCCCTTGGCTGAGTTCTTCGTTACTTGACTGCATGGGCAGCAGTGAATCGGCCTTGATTCTTCAGAGCGGGATTTAGCCAGTCCTGCTAACCCGTCTCAATGTCAACAAGAAGAGGCTTCTCACGTTAAAACAAAGAGTACTTGAGCTCGTTTGTTTCCTGAATGTAACATGCTGAACTTTTAGGGTGCTAGTCACCCTTGTTAGGTAGACCAAATAGAAAATTGGATCAAAGCCCCACGGAGAGTTGGCCTTTCTTGCTGCCCTCTCGCAGTTGTACGGCACTGTGAATGTACTTAATGCCACGGAATTGTAGACTTAAAAAGGAGCTCTGGTGCAGAGTGGGTTACCAGTTGGGCTGCTAATCGCAATGTCCACAGTTCAAACTCACCAGCCGGTCCGTGGGAGAAAGAGGAGGCTGTCTTCTTAAACATTTCGTCTTGGAAGCCAGAGGGAGCAGCTCCACTCTCCTGGGGGGTCGCTATGAGTCAGGATGGCGTTGATGGCAGTGGGTTGGTGGTTGAGTTCATTTTTGTCCTTCGGTGTCTGGTTTATTTCATTTAGGGTACTTTTTTTTGAGGCTCCCCAAACACTGCAGCAGATATGTAAACTCTGTTCCCTTGCAGGGCGGAAGAGCACTCCGTTGTACGGCTATTTTATTTGTCCGTTCATCTACTGAAGGTCACTTAGTGCAGGACACTCGGGCCTTGGTCTGTTGTGAGTGGGCCACAGTCGACACTGGTGCCCAAGCCCCGCCTTCCAGTCTGCTGGGTACCTAGGGTCAGTCAAAGAGGGGTCCTGTAAGATCCAACAACATGAGAAGCCCTTGCTGGGCGACGTAGCCTCCATGTGGGTCTGGACACGGCAGAAGGTGGGGTTTCCATCGCTAACCCTTCCAAAGAATTCTGCATTCTGCGGGTTCACAACGTCAAACACCAAACACTTTCAGATTCACAACAACAAACGTTTACGTCCCTGTGTTCGTTGAGTTTGAGGAACAGAAGGGACATCTGAAGGGGTAGATGGGGCATCATTTCCCAATGGAAGCGTTCCCTAGACAGCTCTCACTGCCTTCAGGAGTGAGCAGTGCCTCGTGGGGTAGAGAGCATTCCTCGGGACAGCTCGCCTGGCTCTTTCTCTCCACTGCAACTTTCAGTTTCCTCACAACGTCTGCCTGATCAGCCCCTGTGGACATCCTGATTTTCAAGTAAATTATCAGGATGGCCCCTTTGCAGCCCCCCAGGCAGTGGCAGCACCCTCTGAGCTGACCTCTCTGCCGAACGGCGCTGGCCCTGCACACCCACTGGAAGCCGCTGCTTGGACAGGGCCTTCCTGTCTTGTTTGGGGCCGGGACAAGTGCCTTACTGAGAGAACCTGTCTGCAGCCACCCACTGATCCCAGAGACAGGCTGAGCTGTGTTTGTTTGGAATAAACCGCCGTCTGCGTGCCCTAGAACCAGTAGCTACACTTTGCGACTAACCCTTGAGTGTCCCTGTGCAGAAGTGTGGGGCTCTGTGGGAATCCCAGGTCACTGCTTTTTGATACGCCACCAAACGATTTCCCACCCCCCCACTCGCATTGCACGCTGGCCCACTTCCTCCCCATCGTCGCAGACTCTTGCGATCACCCACCTACCCAACAACAGCCACCTTGGGCCCCATCTCATAGGGGCTTCCTTTTGCAGTTTCCAGATGGCCTAACCATGTTGAACCCTTTCCCGTGTACGTACCAGGCATGCTTCCACCTTTCAGCTTGATGGCAGTGGGCTGAGAGAGGAGGGCGTGGTTAGCTGGGGGGACAGGACGCAGGGCTGTGGGCCTGGGTGGGCTGGGGAGCCCCCTGGAGTCCTTGTCTCTGAAACAGGAGGCAGAGCTGGTGATAGGTGAGGGCTGGCTGTGGGCTGGTCGCAGAGGTGGGAGGGCAAGGGTGTTTGTGAGCCAGGACCCGCTTCCTGCATGCCCCTCAGTTGGCGCACGTCCACACTGGCACAGCCGTCACCCGCATGCTGCTTTCTCTTTTGCAGAATTAAAACGAGGAAACGCCCAAGACTTGGTTCTTCCTCCCAAATTAGACAGATACAGGATAGCAAAGCAATTGACTGAAAAAGCCATCAAGGTAACTGCTCTGTGTGTGTGTGTGTGTGTGTGTGTGTGTGTGTGTGTGTGTGTGTGGCTTTTACCTGGGGGTACACTGTGCTGCCCGTGAAGAACTCAGCACAGGGCACCCGGGGCCTCGCCCTCCGCTGGTGGCCACTCCAAACCCGCGTGGGCATTACTGTTGTTATTCCCGTATCTATTTCCCCTCTTGAAACAGATCATACTTTCAAAACTCAGGAAGCATCGAGTCACAAGAAAGGCCCCTCCTCAGCCCCCAAGGCAATGGTGGTGTCCACCCTGCCCACCCCCCTCTTAGTGCCAAACTCAGCACTAGCCTTTGTTTTTTAAAAATATCATTTTATTGGGGGCTCTTACAACAATCCATACATCAACTGTATCAAGTCTATTTATACGTATGCTGCCATCGTTGTTTTCTAAATATTGACAGTCTGTTGGAGCCCTTGGTATCAGTTCCTCCTTTTTACTGTTCTTCCCCCATTGCCACCCCTGTGACCCCTTGACAAATTATAAGTTATTTTCAATTTCATATCTTCCCCTGCAGTTTCTTCAATTTCATATCTTCCCCTGCCTCTTCCCACCTGCCCCCCGCCCCCCCATGGTATCACTACTCCCATTTCTGTCCCCAAGGGGCTTATCTGGCTAGATTCCATGTGTCCTGAGCTCTCATCTGTACCTGTGCACACGCTCCGGCCTAACCCGCGTGAAAGGCAGGACTGGTGGCACGATAGTGGGGGGTGAGGAAGCCTCAAGGAACCAGAGGAATAGTGTGTGTTTCATCGTGCACCGTGCTTTGTAAACCCATGTTTCACTTATGCGATCCTGGAGAAGGCGCCCCACTGGCACAGGCCACTAATGGCAAGGTTGGCAGTGTGGGTCCGCCAGTCCCCCTGCAGGGGAGAGATGAGGCTGATTCAGCCTCGGAAACCCTCGATGGCTGCCGCACCCTATCCTGTAGGCTGCTCTGAGTCGAAAGGACCCCGCCAGCTCCTAACAAGGTCCATTGTTCTTTGAGGAGAGCCCGTGCCCCCAGTCGACCACCCTTAGAGTGTGAGAGGCGAAGGAGTCTGGGGGCAGGAGGGGTTCACAGCCTTACAGCATGTCAAGCCTGGGCGGTACAGAACACCCAGACATGCAGGAAGGTCTGCCTTCCAACTCACGCCAGTGTGTGGCTGGCGTCCAGCCTCGTACAGGCCTTCTGAAGGACAGCACCCAACACGTTCCCTACCCTCGGAGCACAGGCCAGTGCTACCATCGATGGAGCCCACACCCTGTGTAAACTGCTGCTCCCGCCCCATGGCTCAGCCCTCCCGGCTCGTCTGGAGCCCTTGCTCTGCTCCAGCAGGGCCTTTCCCTGGTGGGAGGGTGAGTTTAAGAGCATGCCGCCGCCACCGAGTCACAGGGACCTGCATGACACAAACCCAGCCACAGGTGAAGATGGTGCTGCCTGACCTGTCACTCTGGAGGCCCACACCCATGTAGGTGGCGCTTCCGTCTCTCCAACCCTTTCCAGAGAATTCTGTGCAATTCAATAAAAAAACAATCATTTTACCGGGCCTCTGACAGGTCTTATCACAATCCATCCATGCATCCATTGTGTCAGGCACATTTGTACATGTGTTGCCATCATCATTCTCAAAACATTTTCCTTCTACTTGAGCCCTTGGCATCAGCTCATTTACCCCTCCCCCACACTCCCCCTCTCATTAACCCTTCATAATTTATATAGTTTTTTCAAGTCTTACACCAACCGCTGTCTCCCTTCACCTACTTTTCTGTTGTCCGTCCCCCTGGGAGGGGGTTATAGGGAGGTCACTGTCATTGGCTCCCTCTTTCTCCCCACCTTCCCCTTACCCTGCTGGTATCGCTACTCTCATTCTTGGCCCTGAGGGGTTTAAACACCTGCCCTGGATTCCCTGGGCTGTGCGCTCTTATCTGTACGCGTGCACGTGCTCCGGTCTGGCCTGTGCTTTTCAATTCACGCCACGCCAACATGGCAGCTAGACACCCTGTGAGGGGCTCGCATGCTCCTCCTCTCGCTGTTCCTTGATGGGGGGACAGGGGGTCTCGAGGGCAAGATGGGGGCTGTGGGAGGATGGGCTCCGGTTTCCGAGCAGCCCCCGCCCCCCTCGCAGAACAAGCAGGCGCTTTGTCGTGGTGGAAAAGTTCCTGACACGGCTCTCCTGGCTTCCCCCACCAGTGCACTCTTTAATTTTCGAAACACGCTTCCCAATACGCACTCTGAGAAGATCGGTCCCGGTGATCCCCTTGGCCTCTGCCCTCAAACTGCTGTGACCTCCGAGCTGACCTCTGTGCCTTGGGTTTCACGGGCCCAGCAGATCCTCCAGGCCGGTGGCCTAATGAGGCCAAGACAACTGTATTCCCGAGAGAACTGCTCTGCTCAATAAGCCTGCAGAGCAGTGGTTCTCAGCCTGTGGGTCGCGACCCCTTTGGGGGTCGAATGACCCATTCACAGGAGTTGCCTGATTCACAACAATAGCAAATTTACTTATGAAGTAGCAATGAAAAGAACTTTATGGTTGGGGAGGGGTCACCACAACAGGAGGAACTGCGTTAGGAAGGGTCACGGCGTTCGGAAGGTGGAGAACCGCTGCTGTAGATGGATTCACTAGAATCCTAGTAGCAATGTTTTAAAAATTATCCTCACATACATGGACTCATTCACTGTGCATGCTTAAATCTGTCCTCCTAAAGCTATGCTTGTGGGCCTGCTTGTCATTTTCATGGCCGTGTAGCATTTCACTCTGCAGATACCACATGCATTTGAATGTTCCACCACGGGTGGGACTGGGTGTATTATGAATACTACTGCCGTGACATCCAGAGAGCCTCGTAGCAGTTTGTACACACTGCTGTTGGATTTGTATGAGCTCGGAGTGGGGATGGTTGGGGCTGACTTCGTCCAGACCAGGAGTGGATAATTGGAGCTGAATTTGTACAGACTAGGAGTGGAAAGGTTGGAGTCGAGCTTGTCTAAGCTGGGGGTGGGGTGGCTGCAGTTGAGTGTGTACCAGCTAGGAGTGGAGTGGCTGGACTGTAGGGTACGTGAGTGCTCCCCTTTAGGGTTGCATGGCAGCACAGTTTTGGGGGCGGATGTCTGACTGCACTGTTGCCAGCAGCAGGAGAGGGTTACTGTCACCTCCCATGGTCACGGCTGGTTGGCGGTTGAATCATTTTGCAGATGTTTGAGGGCCCCTCGTTGTAACTGAGTTACAGTTCACCTGCGTTTCTCTGATTGGTGAGGGGATGCACCTGTGACTGGAGGTGTTTTTTTCCTGTTGGAGGTCTGAGTGTCCCAGTGTGACCGCCCAACTCACCACTCCTTCTCCAGCGTGGGAGACTTCAAGCTGCTTTACACCCTTAGCAACGCCTGGTATTGTTGGATTATTAAATTCTAGCCACTCTGCTGGCTATCTAATGGGTTGTCACTCTGGTTTTATCAGAGAGTTTCCTTATGGAAGCTTATTAACCACCTGCGATATGTAGACGACAACTCCTCTTGCTGAAAGACAGGGAGAGTTGAAGCACTTGCTGACGAAGAACAAGAATTGCAGTCTTCAGCATCATTTTAAAGTCAAAGGAAAGAAAACCCAACTTCCTCACAAGTAGACCAGTAGGACCATCCTGCCAACAGCAGAGGAGATAGGAAGTTGTCGAGGGTCTCGTCTGGCGATGCTGGCTTCGGTGGCTGCAGCAGTGCGGTGACTCTGCTTTGGAGACTTTTCTGCGAGGACCCGTTCTGCGCCATCAACATTTGTGGGGGAAGCAGAAGGCCCAGGTCCCAGCTCTGTCTCTTGCTCCAGCGTTCCCACACCGCGGTCTGGCTGCTACACTTAAGGAGCAGGGAGACGGGGTTTCAGAAAGGAAGGGCGGCATTTTGTTAATCTGTCAGTAAGAGGATCAAACCAAGTCAACAGGTGCACGCAGGCTGGTCAGAGTCCACGAGGGGGACTCCACCAGGATGCTCCAGATGCAAGGAAACTCGACCCAGAGACGCAGAGAGGAGACCTCTTACCATTGCCTCATCCTGCGAGATCCGGAGGCATCAAAGAAGCAGCAGTGGTTCTTAGACAGATGCTCGGGACAGCTTAGGGGCAGTATTATCTCCTTTGATGAGGACCTTTCCTCCATGAGGAGAAAATAATCATGCACGTCTTAAAGACACCAAGAAAATGTGAGTGAGCCTGTTTTAAATCTCTTTGTTTCCAGTGAGGAATACGACCCTTACCGAAGTTGTTCAGAGACACTGCTCTAGTGGCACAGAAGTTCTGCCAGCGGAGAGGTCGGAGGTTCAAACCCATCGAGAGGACAGCGCAGAAAACCTCAGGGGCCAGTTCTACTCTCGTAGGACCACTCTGAATTGGAATCAATGCTACCACAGAGAGGGTCACTGTAACAACAAGTGGATCGGAAAAGGGGGTGGGGTCAGGAGACATTCCCCTGTCATGATTCTTAATATTCACTAAAGGCTAGGGAAAAAATTGCTCCCGTTTCCCCCTAAATTTTATGCCGGAGAACCACTCCTCCTCACATATTTTTATTTTATATTCCAGCTGTCAATTGAAGCTTTAAAAACATACGTGAAATGTACACATATAAGATGTATAGTAAAATACACTGTTTGACCCTAAGAAAAAAGGCATTTCATATTTCTTGGACCCACAGTCAATACTCGTGGCGGCAGCAGCAGTCAGGATACCAGGCGGTGTCTTGTACGGGCCAATCTGCTGCACAAGACCTCTGTCAAGCGTTGGAAAGCAGGGATGTTCCTCGAAGGCTAAGGTGTGCTCCACCCCCCACTGGGCCCTGAGTAAGAAAGCCCAAGGAAGACTCACTGCAGCCTTTATAAGTTCTCCTTTTCTCCCACTCTGGAGCTTACTTGCCACTCTTTAAAAGTATATTTTCTTTCTTTCTTTTTAATAAATCATTTTGCTGGGGGCTCTTACAGTTCTTATAACAATCCACACATCAATTGTATCA